ATGTATTTTCGATCTCTGCTATAGGCATTGTATGAAGCATTGTCTGCCTCCCGTTTCTACTAAAGAACTTAATTGTCAACTTGCTTGTTCAACTCATCGTTGCTCCAAATGTAAAAAAGGTATAATTCTTTCCTAAGTTTTTTTATTATATATATACTACAAGAAATAAGGAATTAGTGATGAACAACCTATGTCGCCAAACAATAAATGCTCGTCGCTAGTCCTACATAATGACGGATTATTAAAAAATTTATTATGTACGAATTATTTAGTGACAGATCATTGATGATAAGGAAAATATTCGAGCAACAGTAAAGTTATCTTCGTGCGACATATAAGTCTCGACTTCGAGTCGTAGAAGCAGTCATTAATTAATGTTTGCATTAGGGTAGACCGTCTACATCATATCACTTGGGGTGTGGTCCTTCCCCGGAACATGCGTGAATGCGGGATACTTTGTGCACCAAACTATTTTTTTTAGATATTTTGTAGCTAATTCCTATTTTTTATTTGTATTATATTTGTTCCGACTAATATAACCTAATTTATATCTATTTAACAAACTCTTGGCAGATGGGAAGCTAATGGGAAGCTGCTTGGATGAATGTTCAACAAAATACTGCACCTAGAATTCCATGTAATCTTATGCTGTTTGTTTTAAATTGCAGAGTAGTGAAAACAAATTAGAAAAAAAAAATGCTATCTTGATGACTCCCAATGTAAATCAAGATTTATGCTTCAAATGAAATAGTAATACTTTTGACAACGTCAATCTTTTGGTTTTTTGCAAATACCTTACCATTTCAATGCATCATTGTCGATTAAACTGGTTTGATGTACGATCTGCTGATTATTGTTATGATTAATATAAATCATGAAATATATTAAAATGACGCGATAATTTGATCGAGTCAAATAACCAACATTTGACGAAAACAAAGCTAAATGTAGAGGTGAGGCGGTTAATTGAGGAAGATAATTAATATAGTTTGATGTAAAATTTGTGCCGATTAATTTTAAACCCTAAAAAAAGGGGGTCTTTACATAAATAGCCCATAGGATTCTCTGTTTATTTTTCTAGTAAATATAAATAAATTATACAATAATTATGCATGATTATACACATGTTACATATAAATTATATATGTATTATATATATCCGCTGATTATTTTTAGTTGACGACTATTCTAAGTTCTATTGCTTTTCCTTTCTTCATCCAGGTCACTAAGCATATGCTAATAGTAATATTAACATGTTTCAAAAAAGCAGAGGAATACAGAACTAAATCAGATGCTTTTGTTAAATAGTCAAACATTTTAAGATTCATATCAGCATAGCATAAAGACACAATCCAGATGCTCAATTTCAAACCACACTATCCACTAAAATTGAAAGAAGAGATGGTGCATTCTTACTGTGATTCCTGACAGAAATATAAACAAAACTTTCTGAAACATTCATATTATTAAAGAAGCAAACTTTATAACATATAATATATTGCTCCTTTACCTTAATTTTTGCAATAATAAGGAGGATATGTGAATATGCTCTGTACATACTTATATTAATTAATTAAAGCAAAAGTTGAAAGCACATGCTTGGTCGGCTTGCCCACTTCTCACCTTTGCTTTTACGTTTTTCCAAATGCTACGGATCATATTAGAATGTGATGTTTATGGGTTCTAAAAAACGATTTTAAATTAATATTATGGTATTAATTATTTTTACATTCTAATATTTATAAATATTTAATAAACTTTTTAATATATATATAGAGAGAGAGTCTGAATTAAAGTTAATAGATTCACGTGAAATCGTAATCGATCCTCTAGATTTACCCCTAATGCTACCTCCCGCATATCTCAAATAAATGTAGTTTGGCTAATTGAATTTACTTCTATATTAATAAAATATCTCTTACTAGTTGTTTTCAAATTTAATCTTACTATTTAATATAATAGCAAGACTTGCTTATCGTTTTAGTCAAACGAATGACTTCTGGAACTTAAAACAATAATAAAAGCAGTATAGGAACTCACGTCTCATTGTTGTCTGTGTTTCTTACGACATAAATTTTGAGTTACATAATTTTTTGGCCAAATACGTATACAGCCCATCCAATTTGGCATCATTTTTTATTTTGACACTCTATTTTTATTTTGTTCCATTTTGGCCTTTTAACTCTATTTTATATATTTTATTTTGGTCCTTCAACTCTATTTCTTATGTTCCACTTTAACATAAAAGTTGAAATCAGTGCAAAAAATATAGCCCGTTAAAGCTGAGGTATAATAAATATCCAATTAAATATTGCCACCTGATTTTCTCATCCATGTCAAACATGTCAATATTAAAATACCTGAATTTCAGGGGAAAATTCCATATTACAGCAACTGGACTGCCTCCTTTTCAACTTTATAGCCCATATTTCAATTTACAATTGAGTAGCCCAAAAATAAGAGGCCCATATCCGAAAAAAGGGCGTTATTTCCGTTTTTTGGGAGTCAGAAGTGGGATTTTGTATCTTTCAGCGGGATTTTCTCTCATTCTTTCTATTCTTCTTCCCCAAATCCACAAAAAACGAGATCTTGCGATTAATGCAGCTCCAAAAACCCTAGAAATTCTTCTTCATCTCGAATTAACAGCAAATCAAACAAGAAAAGTGAATTTGTTTTGCTGCAAATCAGCGCAATTTTCATTTTTGTTGCAATTTTGATTTCAACTTTTTGTTCGATGGAGCTTTTTCCACTTTACGTTCTTCATAGTGGTGAATGGGAAGAAAACAAGTTTATCAATTTCGTTAGCGATTGTGTAATAATCCAGTCGACATTCAGCTACAACAATTTAGTTGCAGCTATTTCGGAACAGATTAGGATCGATAGTGAATGAAACACAATAGAGATTAACTTTCTCCCAAATGATGGTTTTCCACCAATCCTGATTTACAACGATACAAGTGTTAAGGTGTATACCGAATTAAAGAAGAAAAACTTGAATTTCACTGAATACCCCTTGTTTGTGACAGTGAAAGAGATTTATGATAATCGTTTGGTTGCTACAAGTTCCAGTTGTTTGGTTGCTACAAGTTCCAAGTCTAATGATGTATCCACAATTGATAGCACTGAGATTATGCCTGATATCAAATTGATTGAAAACACGAAACTTAGTGAAAACATGGGTATAATAGATAATATGTTGAACGATTTTGTTGAGGGGGATCAAGTTTATAAAGATAAAGAGACAGTTATGAATGTGATGAAGAACTTGGTTGTACGCGAGAGGTTCCAATTCAAGGTGAAGAGATCAAGCGCAACAAGGTATGTCAATAATTGTATATTCTGTTATATATATATATATGTATAAAGTAGTATATATTTGTATATAATGTATTAAAATTAGTATATATCTAGTTATGTTTTTGTATACAGGTGTATTTAGAAGTTGAATGATCTTTAATCTTAGGTATCACCTTATGTGTGTGGATGACAATTGTGCTTGGAGTTTCAAATCTTCTGTCGTTTTCAAGGCAAACATATTCAAAGTGAGAAGTTATAATAATAATCACACATGCGGCTATGGTAAAAGATACTTAACACAACGTCAAGCTACTTCGCGTGTAATTGCTAGTATAGTCAAGGACAAGTATGTTAATCCAAAAAAAGTTTACACTGCAAATAATATAATAGAGGACATACAAAAGCAACACGGGATTGAAGTGAGCTACATGAAAGCATGGAGAGCTAAAGGGATAGCAATGACAATGATAAGAGGGAGTTCGAGTGATTCATATAAGGAGTTGTCAAAGTATTTTTATATGTTGGAGCATACAAATCCAGGAACGGTTACAAAGTTGCACAAATCAGAAGATGGATGCTTTCTTTATGCATATGTTTCGCTATATGCATCTATCAAGGGCTGGGAGCATTGCAGACCGATAATGGTTGTTGACGGAAGTTTCCTTAAAGCAACATATAAGGGTACCATATTGACTGCTTGCACACAGGATGGAGCTGGTGAGTTGACTGTATCTACCTTGTTTCTGCAGTTTGTATAATGTTGTGGTTTCATGTATAAAAGTGTATAGGATTTCACAGCTGCTGTTTTTATAAAATTTGCAGTTTGTATAAGGTTGTATAATTGTGTATAACTGTGTATAGGATTTGTATAATTGTCTGAATCCTAATATCTATTTTGTATAAAAAGAAAAAATCCTTCCACTTGCATATGCAATTGTAGATTCAGAGAATAACAAATATTGGGAGTGGTTCTTTGTCCAGGTAAAGGATACTTTTGATGTTAGGGAAGGGATGTGTATAGTTTCAGATAGAAACGAAAATATCTTCAATGCCACAAAAATCGTGTACCCAGAAGCGCACATTCAAGAAACATCACAAACAATTGAAGGATAACTTTTTTTTGCTTTGGCTAGAGCTTACACGATAGAGAAGTTTGAGTACCATATGACAGAGATGTGCAAAATTGATCCAAGGGTGCAGCTTTACTTGTTCGAAATTGGTTACGAAAGGTGGTCTAGGGCATATTCCAAAGTGAAAAGGTCGATGGTAATGACTTCCAATATTGTAGGGTCAATTAATGCAGCAAACAAGGATGCTAGAGAGTTACCAGTAATGCGGTTGCTGTAGTACATGACAAATTTGCTACAACAGTGGAACAACAAAAACAGAAAAAGTGCAATGGAGACATCTACAGAGCTTGACGAAAAGTACAACAAACTCCTCCGGAAAAATCTGATTGCATCGGAGCAAATGACGGTAAAATAAATCAAATATAATGATGCTTGTCGTTGCTGACTTGCATTTTACTGCTTGTATAAGGATGTATAACTCTATATAATAATGTATAATGTTCTTTAACTTTTTTTAAAAAAAAACTTTTGTAGGTGAGGCCTGCTATGGAGTAGTTATATGTTGTGTTTGAAGGGGTAAAGCGAAACATAGTGTGCCTAGAAGAGGGAACATGCAGTTGCGGAAAATTTCAAATGGATGAACTTCCATGTCCTCATGCTTGGACGGTTTTGAAGAACCAGCAGCTGAAACCTGGCCAGTATTGCTCTTTTTACTACAATAAGGATAAATTCCTTAGAACTTATGAATTTCTAGTGAATCCGATGCCAAATGAGAGTTTATGGGTAATCCCAACAGAGGTGCTGGAAGATGTGGTCATACCACCTAAAGGGAGAAGGAATGCAGGGAGGCAAAGAAAAGAAAGACTCAAACCTGCTTCAGAGAAAGAGTCTAAGAGGACGTTTTCATGTTCTGTGTGTGGACAAGGTGGTCACAATAGAAAAACATGTAGGAATCGACAAAAATAAATAGTTAGAAACATAACACTTCCTATTACATTTGTTGTCATGTTGAGTAGTTAAGTTTCACAAACAATAGAGTTACAAATGTTGAGTAGTTAAGTTTCACAAGCAATTGAGATGTTTCATTATACATGTTTTGATTATCCAATAAAAGTGTCTTGTTGTTTTTAATGGTGCTAAATATATTAGATTGTACAAATACAAAATATAACTACAAACAATCAATAGTATTATATGTATACATATGTATAAATGAGAGTATAAGTTTATATAAATTTGTATAACAATGTATATTATTGTATACATATGTATAAACCATGCTATATTAACAAAACTGCAACCATAATGAAAATACAGACTTTGTTAAAGGACAAAAGCAACAGAAATATTCATTAAAATGTAATTCATTCACAGCCACAATGTATAATGACTACCACAAATTACACAAAAATAAAAACATCTATAATATTCTTTAAGGTTATCTCACAAGTAGCAGAATAGTACTTAGACAAAACTAGGCAACAACTCCTGATATATAGAAAAATTACAGTAAAATGGAAAAAACAGAACTATTTTCTCGGTCGTCCCCTCTTCCTCTTCCTGAAAAGTCTCTCTAGGATTTCATCACCACTAATTGCACCGGACTGTTATTTTTTCCTTCCATAATCCCACAACAAAGATCCCCACCTGGTGCGAAGTGTCTCAATGTCAAAATTATCTTTTTGAATTTCCTCACCAAGGATGAAATACTCAGCAAATCCAACAACAAAAGCACCACAATCACTGTAATTAAAAAGAAACAAATCAGATTCAAATTGGTACACTAATAGTAAAATAGTAAAACAATTGAGATTAACCTACCATTTGATATGTTAGGGCATATTATTAACCAGATTAATCTGCAAAGCATCATAATGGGATTTATCGGTATATGCACCATTGTTCCAATCAATACCCTTCTTCTCGACATAAAAATCAGAACTCTTCAAGAAGTAAGGTATCATAATAGTATAAGGTAATGCAGCATCCAAAGCAAGTCTATCATTAATAGCTCCACGGTTAGAGTCATAGATGTGGATACACCTATCTATGAACGTAAACAACCCCAAAACCCAATGGCCCAATTTTGTTCTTCCGCGCTTCACATAGATAGGGAATAAGACGCGGTCAACAGTGTGCAACGGTACATTTGCATCTTAATAATATCCTTTAATGTACTCTTTTATCTCATGCCCTTCAGGAATCACTGAAGGATCTTGATTCACTTTAAAATCTTTATACAGGGAGTTGATTTTGTTAAAAGTCGGTTGTAGTAAACCGCATGGCAACACTCGGCCCATATTTTCCCCTCTCCTCAAATAATAAAAAAGGACATCCAAGTGCTGAGACAAGAAATAAAACAAAAAAACCATCACTACAAGATTTTTTAAATATAGAAATTTATACACTATTATAGAGAGGTATACATATTTATACAAGGTTATACAATCTTATACTGTGATTATACAAAGCTATGTATGCACTATGGGGGTCTCAAACAATAAAGATATGCAACAAATAAAAAAAGGCATTAGAACAGAAAATTATTAAATACCGTGTCAATCAAAGGTCGACCACAATAAGCAAGTGAGTGGAACCAATCCTTCATGGTCACACGACACGAGCCAAAAGTAAAAGCTTTCGCAAGCTTATTTATTTTATCGGTGTATATATTTTTGGCACTTCAAATCACAAAAAATAAAAAGTAATCAGAACTACCTTCATTGACAAGTATAAAATCAGAACATGAAAGATTAAAGAAAGTGAAGATACATTCGCCTCGTATCCATCTCATTATCAACAAACGCGCAAAACTCTTTAGCCAATGGCGACAATGGATCAAAATCATCAATTTTGATCGTGAAAGGATGCTTGATATCAAAAATGAGCTTGTGTGCCGATCCTGATGCCCCCGAATCAAAAAGTGGCAAATATGGAGATTTGGCATATTTTCCTGGTATTTTCTGTCGAACTGACTGTTCAGGAGAAATATAATCATCTTCTACGTCTATGATGGATGATTTGTGAAGCACAATTTGGGACATTTGTAGCACAGTTAAATCTTCATCGCCAATTTCATCCCAAATGTGTCACCCTTGATATCATGTATTTTAGAAAGTATGTTTGGTGTGAAGCAATTTATTCGCTAATTAATTTGAAAAGCATTTTTAAGTATTAATTAGTATTTGATCAAATTTTTAAAAACTGATTCTAAATATATTTTTCTCAAAATATTAAGCAAAAGGTTTTATGCAAAAAAACTAGAAACCCAGACAAACAATTTGTTACTTAACACAGAGAGAATTGGAATGACTGAAACAGAAACATAGTAATAAAGGGAAAATGTCTTCGTATCACCAGCTGAAGATTAGGGACTCGGACATTCTTAAGACAGTTTTCAGGATCCGTCATGGCCATTATGAGTTATTCGTGATGCCTTTTGGCTGACCAGTATTAGAAAAGAGATTTACCTTGCTCCGAAGTTTCATAACCGGCTTCCGAGCCCTTCAACAATTCGAATCGATGCTCAACGCTCCAAAACTAGCCAATAATTATGCAAACCCATTAATATAAACTCAAATACTTATTATGATCCAAGTCTTCCTAAATGACCATTCTCTAAGAGCCTGTTTCGAAAGTCACTTTGGTAATGGATTTGGATGTATTGGGTGTAATTACACAATTTGACATATTTGTTTGGCCAAGTAATTACTTGGTCAACATGAAATTGGGTGTAATTACACTCTCCAATTCTTAAGAGGGAGGTAAGAATTGATGGTAATTATACTGTATAATTACAAGGTTGTCTTTTAGTTTCTTTCCTTTTTATTTTTATTTTAGTTTATTTTAATAACTTTTTATTTCTATTATTTTTAATTTTATTTTTACTTTTTAATTTTTTTTGAAATTTTTAAAAATATTTTTCTTTGTACATTATTTTCTTTTATTTAAGGGTGTCTAACGGGCCAGGTTGACCCGTAACCGGATCGGCCCAGACCGGAAAAAATCGGACCGGCCTGGTACATAGAGGCCGGGTGGGGCTGGGTAGGGGGTAAAGGGGGTTGGTCCGTTTATTTTTTTTAACGGTTAACCGGACCGGTCAAACTCGGTCCACGTGAACAGTACCGTGTACCAGTTTAACCGGATTGGACCGGTACAACGGCTAAATCTTTTTTTTTTTTAATTTTTTGAAATCTGCGGGACCCACTAACCGTTGGCAACGGCCACCCCTGGCAGGGATTCGTTGCTCAACACCCTTAATTGCATTAATAGCCTCTTTTTCTTTAAAATTTAACTTTTTTTTAATTTACAAAATTAACCTTCTCTAAAACTATAAATATACCCCCTCCTCTTCCTCATCTCTCAATTCTCATTTCTCAATCTCAATTCAAGTTAAATCATGCCTCGTACTTCTAGAGTGCGCTCATATGTTTGGCAACACTTTGAGGTGGTAGAAGAAAATTAAGAAGGTGAGAAAGTAAAGTGCAAGAACTGTGGTCAAGTCTTAAATCTTCGTTCAGGGTCTGGCACAGGCAGTTTAAGGAGGCATATAAAGTATTGTCTTGAGCGTCCTCCAGAAATTCGTATTTAAGATTTTAAGACAATTTGTGTTATTTTAAAATTATTAGACGTATTTATGCTTAATGTTTTAGTTTGTTAGATTAATATGAAGTATTATTAATTTATTATGCATGAAAATTTAGTTTTACTATTTTTTTGTTAATTTACTTTTTAAATGCAAACTTTAATTTTGTAATTTTGAAATAAATGTAGCACTTGCAATTTATAAGTGCAATTTTTTCCCATATTCCTTGTATTCTTTATGTTAATACTTTGTATTAATATAACTTACAATAGTTATACAAAATACAAAAAAAAAAAAGAAATACACTAAACCCGGCCCGGCCCGGCCCCCTCAACCTGTAACCCTTAGGGTTCAATTTTTATCCGGATGAACCCGAACCCGTTAAACCAGGTAAGACCCAACTTGTAACCGGCCCGGATCATAACCCATACGGGCCCAAAAAATCTCAACCCAACCCGGCCCGACCCACCCGTTTAACACCCTTACTTTTATTCCTCTATCTTTACTTCTTGTGAATCCATGTAATTGCTTATATTTTATTTTTTATTTATTTTATTATTCTATTTTTTGAAACTACACCTCCTATTATTAAAAATAATGAGTCATTAACAAACTTGACATACAATGAGTGATGCAATTAAAGTAAAATTTCATTATTGAATGTGGTTATAAACTTATCATGTTTCCTAATCTTAAGTTGCAATGAAACTTACTATTATTATGTTGGAATTTGACATATGTTAAACGATTTTATTTTTTTTTTGAATTTTGAAAATGTGTTTATTTATGGTTCCAATTTACCTGTTTCAGTAGTACTGGCTCACATTGCATGTTTTTCATTTTTTAGTTAGAATTGATAGATTAGTTTTGTCAAACATTTGAATAATGTTATGGCATTACATTTATAAATATTTTATCAGACATAAATTCCATGATGTTCTTACAAAACTTATATTTTTAATTGTTGTAAGTATCTAAACTAAATTTTATTAATTTAAAAATATATATAAATTATTTTTACAATATTAGTTATAAATATATGATTACTAATTAATGTATATTCACGAAAAAATATACATCTTAAATACCAAATATAATATCATTTATACTTATATAAATTTATAGGCATATATTTATTATATTAGCTTTTAAGTTTTGATAATTGCTTAATTTAAAATTTAATCTAATTGTGTAATTACACTTGTGCAACCAAACAGTCAACTTGTAATTACATTGTAATTACACTATGACAAACAAACAGGTTATCGTAATTATACAACTATGTAATTATTAAGCTGTGTAATTACTATCCTAGTAATTACATAAATTATTACAAAGTGGCTTTTCAAACAGATTCTAAATTTTTCATGAATCTTCTTCT